TCTATCCAACGTCGAGAGACTACTTTGGCCTGGCAACTCTCCAGACTGTAACTGTATTGAGCCATGCTGGTTCTACATGAAGAGAGAGACTACAAAGAAAGGAGCTCCACAGTCAAGAACGGAGGCAACTAGAATCTGGCTAAATTGCTGGAGAGATCTCCCACAAGCTAAGATCCAAGCTTGGATTGAGCGTATTCTTATACATATTCCAAAGATAATTGAGCTACAAGGTGGTAATGAGTATATAGAGGGGAGAGATAGGCGTTGTGTAGGAGAGCGGCCAGATTTCGGCTAAATTATTCTTGGCAGGACAAAACTTTTGTGAGGCACCTCCGTACTATTAATACTATAATAAAGTGATTTATAAGTAACACGGCCGCATACAAGCGAGCGGCGCACCCCACCAAAACACCCTAAAAAAGCCAAGTTTTCCACTTTAGGTATCTTGACAACTAATCTTCGATAATCACCCAAAACTTAGAAACACACTGTGATATACAAATCGCAAAAACCATTTATCACGCCAAAAGTCTACCAATTTTGGTTGCCAAATTTCTACCACAAGTTTCCAAGACATTATTATGATGACATGTTCTAAACGTATTCGCTGTTTTGCACACTTGAACATCAATTCATGATTTGAGCGATTATTCCTGACTAGTTGATGAGCTGACATCCGGCATTTCCGGTCCATCTTGACGTTCCCGCCACGGGCTTGCGCAGGCGGCGCTCACTTGTAAACGGGGCTACAGTACAGTAGCCCTGCCAAACTGCAGGGTATACCCTTTTTTCCCATGACCAGGTTGTTAGCGCACGTTAATGCATTTGCATACAAATTTTTCCGGTGCCGTGACTGACGCTAACGCTTCTGCTTATGGACGTGGGGGTTGGGGTGTGATGGTTAGAGAGAGACACGCCCGTTATCTAGCAGATTATGTTGCAACTTATCGAAAACATGACTCTATTCCGGTGACCTTCGTAACTTTCGGTCTTAATTTCGAGGATGCGGTTAAGCGCGAGTTGAGGCTTACGCGGACAGCTCGTATACGATCTAGCGGCCTGGATTCTGTATCAGGACTTTTCTACGCAGCTCTAGAAGCAATCCAGATTACTTACTGTAGGTGGTCAGTGCTTGCAACTGTTCAGCGGATGCAACACCCTACTAAAATTAGTGCTCCACTAAAGATAAGGCTATAGAGCCTTATACAAACGCTATTATTATAAGATTCTTTAGTAGAGTATTAAGTAAGTCGTAATATATATTTCTATTTATAACGTATTCCACCACCGAGAGTGCCACCCCACCGAGAGTGCCACTTTTTCTTGGCATCGCGAACTTCACGTACGAAAGACAATGCCTCAACAACAGAACGTGATATTTACTCAGCAAGAGGGTAGGCTTACTCTAGCAGTTCAGGCCTATCGTACAGGCCAGTTTAAGAGCATTCGACGCGCTGCAGCAGCCTATAACGTCCATCATCAGCAGATCTCTCGGCGGCTTCAAGGAATCACCTTTCGACCTACGACGCAGCCAAATTGCCAGAAGCTAACTAAATCTGAAGAGCAAACTATCGTACGATACATTCTTGACCTAGACTCGCGAGGATTTGCCCCCCGTCTATGTGAAGTAGCAGATATGGCAGAAAAACTACTACGCGTACGAGATGGCCAGCCTTTAGGCAAGAACTGGCCAGAGCGGTTCGTATCGCGTACGGACGAGCTTAGAACAGCCTTCAATCAAGCAAAGGATCGTCAGAGAGTTCAGCAAGAGGACCCAGAGATTATTAACGCGTGGTTTAACCTCGTACGAGAGACAATTGAGAAGTATGGGGTTGATTTAGACGACATCCACAACTTTGACGAAACTGGCTTTCAGATGGGTGTAATTGGTTCAATGAAGGTAGTTACAGGTTCAGAACGTCGTACAAGACCTACTCTTGTTCAGCCAGGCAATCGCGAGTGGGTTACTGTTATCCAGAGCATCTGCGCTGCGGGAT